CCTCTTAATAAATTTATTTTTCATATAGATTTTAAGACTTAATTTTAAGGATATGTAATCTCTAATATGGAGATCATGAATATGGAAAATTAAATAAATTTTAAAAACTAAAAATAACAATTCTAGTAAGAAAACATTTGGATCATTAGTTTCCATTGTTTTTAGATGGAACATCTACTTGTATCCATCTTTAAGGTGGATGTGTTATACGTCATTTTTGACGTACTTGTATCCCCGGGGAGAATAAGGAGAGAGCCGGTAGTAACTTGATCTCGCTAGTGCCCAAGACGTCGCCAGAGCACGGGAACACTGTAACAATAAGCCTAAAATTAGGCGACCTTTGAAGAAGTATCATAATGACCTCAAATTACATTAAAGAGTATTTTTGGATACCTTAAGGACACCGGTAAAGTTTTATTGCGTTATGACATGTTTTGATATGATTAGGACGAAACTTGGTTTTCAAATCCAGTTCTTTTCATGCTGAAAATAGACCCTATAACTCTAATCCCATTTTCTAGGTCTTAAAACAATATCAGACCAATGCCATTAGATCCGGAACGTTGAAAAACCCTAAGGTACCAAATTTTGGCTCAATCAGACCATCAGGGACCATTCTGGGCGTAACTTCTAATGGGTTTTACACTATTGCGTGTAGCCTTGGCGAACTGTGTTTTTTTATTTTCGAGATGATTTTCAAATGCTCATAACTTGCTTGTTTTGAATCCAATTAAGGTTAAATTCGGACACGAATTAGATCTCGACGACCCGATCGTTTTAACGTATTGTATGCGTCATGATATGGCTGGAAACGAGATAATTTCTAGAGAAAAGATGAGCTCAAAACATGAAAATTTAGATTTTATAAAGAAGGACATTCACTTCTGTGAAAGGTCGTAACTCGAAATCCCAGTGTCGGATCATCTCAAATATGGATTCGTTGTGATCGTGCTGCGAGGAGCTACAGTTTGATATAACTTTTAGGCATGATTGGAGACCGGACGATACGAATTTTAAGGTAAAAAATGTCATACATTTCTGGTCGCTGGAATCCGATTTTCCAACGACTTCCCAAAATTGGAACATGCTCTAAGGGAGATAAAAATGGATGAATTTTATTGCAAATGATCGTGATAGTATCCTATTCAATTTGTTATCAAAATGAGGGCTTGGAACATCAACAATCGTGCTAGATTGGTGGTCAAAGAATCCCAAAGTTTATGGACTTGGTCGATTTTTGGGTTTTTCCTTAAAAATATGTTTCAAGATAATCAAATGGTATCAAAACGTGTGCAATAGTTCAAACATAGATTCTACGAGGATTGATCGCCCGAATTACTATTATAAGCATTCGAAAAAAAACTCCCAAGGCTTAGCAATGACAAGAGGCTCCTTATGAAGGGTTGGTTTTGTCATTTGTTGAAAAGTGCCTAGGGGTATTTGGGTCATTTGGTCAAAAAATGGGATTAACATTTTAATTCATTAAATGTATAGTTTTTGACAATTTTGGGTGTTTTTTTACAGTGGTTGCTCTATAAAAGGGAACCCAAGTCATTTGTAATACAACTGGGTCGTTTGTAATAAAATTCTTGAATACTCAAGCATTTTAGAGTGAGATTCTTGAGTTCTTAGCTTCTTGTTTTCACTTTGCTTTCAAGTTCAAGACCAAGTGGAGAGGAGAGAGAAACATTTCTTAGAGAGAAAATACCCTAGACTACACTTTCTAGAACCTCAAAGTTCTAACTCTTTTAAGATTCCCAACTCCCAATCCCATAAAACCTAGAACTCTTAGCTTTCATATACCTTAGAACCCTTAGCTTCCAATCGTACTCCATACACCCCACACCCTACCTTAATTAGCCTACACCCTACCCTACACCATACACCATAGTATTCCATACACCATATCATCATACACTTTAGTTATCTTATACCTTACCCAATCCCATACACCCTAATTTCTATATACCATACATCAACACAATCCACCTAAGCTAGACACTTAAGCCCCTAAATCCTAATCTTCTTAAACCCCTTTCTCTCTCATATGCACACAAAGGGATCGATGAAGGTGTACCTAGGCTCAAGTCCATTCTTGGTCCACTCTCCCTCCTCTTATTTCTTTCTTCTCTTTCTCTCTCTTCTTTCTTCCTTCTCTTTTTTTTCTTTTTCTCCCTCTTATTCTTTCTTCTCTCTTCTTCTTTTTTCCTTCTCTTCTTTTTTTTTCTCTCTCTCTCTCCTTGCTTGGACCAGGGCAAGTCCGAGCCTTCACCTTCTCTCTCTCTCTCTCTCTCTTTCCCTCTCTCTCTCACACTCAAACACCAAGACCCATACCTAGGGC